GGACAAGTCTCTTCCTTTATTCCTCGGTTGCACTTTGAATCTGCATCTACAATGTGGGGGTTCTTCTGAACTCTCAGCCAGGGGTGCTTGTGTACCTGGTTGTGCTGTACCTCCCCCTGCCTGTCTCCCTGTCCCTGGCTGTCACTTCCCCTCCTTCCCAGGGGCAGGGGAGGGGGCGCATAATCACCTGTAAAGCAGGAATCAACTTCCCTGCCCTCACCTGCTGTGGGGCAAGGGTCAAAGGATTCAGTGTATTTACAAGTCAGCACAGAAGAACCTGTAAATAGCACTGTTGACCCTGTCCCTTATATTAAACCATAATTGCACACTGCCAGAGCCAGACTGGAAAGTCTTGGGAGGCACTGATAGTGCTGGTGAGCTTTCTTTCTGCCCCCAGGAAGGCAGTAGGGATGGTGGAGAAAGGATGAGCCTGGGTGGCAGAGATTGAAGATAGCAAGCTCTGGAGTCCGGCTGCCTGAGTTCAAATCCAGGGCTCACCACTTAGTAGCTATGGCCCAATGTCTCTGGGCTGCCCTTTCCTTAGAGTGATCCTGACAGTACCTCACTGCAAAGGTTTTGTGTGAGGTGGAAGGAAGGAGCACACACCGTGTGTGCTCACTGAATTCTGTTTTTGTTTTTTTGAGACATAGTCTCACTATGTTGCCCTGGGTAGAGGTTGCTCACAGCAACCTCAAACTCTTGGGCTTAAGTGAATCTCTCTCTTTTTTGAGACAGAGTTTCAGTATGTTGCCCTGTAGAGTGCTGTGACATCACAGCTCACAGCCACCTCCTCCAACTCTTGGGCTTAAGCGATTCTCCTGTCTCAGTCTCCCAACTTGCTGGGACTATAGGCACCTGCCACAACACTGGGCTATTTTTTGGTTGCAATTGTCATTGTTGTTTAGCAGGCCCAGGCTAGGTTTGAACCTACCACCCTCGGTGTATGTGGCCGGCGCCCTACCCACTGTGCTATGGGGCTGTCTGCTCACTGGATTCAGATACTGTCACTTTAACATCCGTGGGACCTTGGGCAAATTCCTTGCCATGTGCCTCAATGTCTCCATCTATAAAATGGGAATAGTAATCCTTTCCTCACTGGGTGATGGTGGAAATGAGACAATCTTTGAAAAGCTCCTGGCACCAGCCAGGCACTCAGCACGCTGTTTTGACAGGGGAGCATCCTTATCATCTCACGCAGCTGGCTTGGCCAACTTCTGTCAACATTTACTTCCCCCTGGTAACCAGCAAGGGAAGTGAGATAAAAGCCCAATTAGCTGCGACAGCAGAAAGGGCTTAGAATCCAACTCTTGTTTATTCCTCCCTAAGATACCTGCATCCTTTAGCACTTGAGCCCCATGAGCTTGCCTCGTTTTGTCTGAGAGTTAGAAACGGTCTTGTCTGGGATGAAGGTTGTTTTTGTTTCATTTTGCTTTATAAACAGAAACACTCCCTGATTTCTCTTCTGAAAGGCTGAAGAGGAAGCTGAGTCAGGTGGGGTGCGGTTAACGTGAAATCGGTCACCCTTCCCTGGCCGTGGGTTCGCCTTACTCAATCCTGATGTACTGGCGTGCACAGCAGTCACGTTTGGTATCCCATTTTATGCTCATTTCTTTACTGACATGAAAAAACAACAGTGTTCTTTTGGATGCAGTATGGCCTAGTGGAAAGAGCAAGGCTTCGGGAGGCCCGGCCTGGGTTGGAATTCTAGCCCCACTGCTTGGTGACTGAGACAAAGGCTGGGCAAGTTAGGAAATGGTGGAGCAGGACTGGCAGCCGCCGAGTGGTGGAGGTGCCTTCCTATGGGATAACCGTGAAGCTTAGTGTTAGGCCTATAGAGCCGGCGGGAAGGCACCGTGGAACTAAACAGATCCCCATGATGCCGCATTCTCTTCCCTTTCAGGATGATGTCCCAGGCCCTGGATTCTACGATGTCATTCACCAGTCTCCAGTGTCCAACAGTGTCTCATGGTCCAAGAAAGGAACAAGCACTTTTCCTTCTATGGTGAGAGCCACTTCTCTGGAGTAGGGGTGGTAGCTGGTCAGTGATTTCCTTCTTTCACCATGTAATCATATATTGGACATCTAGCCCCTTCTCTCCAAAGTCCTGTGATTCTAATTAGGAGAGTCATCGCCTCCTTAGATTTCTTAGGTAAACTGGATCCTGTGTCTTTATTTATTTCTTTTTTGGTCACCCATTGTCATGATGGGAAGAAAAGGGGGAGGAATATTCAGAACCTGATCACTAAGGGGACTAAAGAAGTGTTTTCTTTCTATTTTTGCGGTTTTGGGCCGGGGCTAGGTTTGAACCCACCACCCCCGGCATATGGGGCCGGCGCCCTACTCCTTTGAGCCACCGGCGCCGCCCAGAAGTGTTTTCTTGAGATTTTCAAGCATATTGGGAAACTATTCACACATCTTGCCCTAGTATGATTTTTTACACTGCATAATCTGACTGGGTTGTCAAACTAGTAAGAAATATGATGGGACCAAAATAAAAGCAGGCAAAGGCCTGACATTTAGTGGTTTCCCACCTCATTCCTCTTCTTTGTAATATGTGGGACTTTATTTTTGTTTAGGGCTCTAATAGTCAAATAGCTGTGTGAAGTGCTGATGATCCTGACCAGACTCCTCCCTCCTTTCCTCCTTCCCTCCCTCCTTCCTTCCTTTCTTCTTTCCTTCCTTCCTTCCCTCCTTCTTCCCTTCCTTTCCCTCCCCTGCCCCCCTTCCTCCTTTTCTTCCTTCCTTCCTTCTTCCCTTCCATCCCTTCCTTCCCTCTTTCCTTCCCTCCCCTCCTTTCCTTCCTTCCTTCTTTCCTTCCTTCCTTCCTTCCTTCCTTCCTTCCT